GGGTCCTTTGTCTGGCTGGATGTGGACGTGGCCATGTGAGCCATAGCCGAATTGAGAGAACTACCCATGTAGGAGCCTGAACCAAATCCTCGGTCGAGCTTAAGCTACTTGCGTCGCTAGTTAGGCCCTGTAACCCAAGCCCTAAGCGCACACACAGCACACACAATGTGCCTGCTATGCTGTGGCTTCCTTACTCAACCCTGGACACTACCTGGACATAGAAACTCCAAACTGAGTGCAGACAGCGGCCCCGCTCCTTCGTGTGGTACTGGATCACTGTTGGTCGGTGTGCCACGCTGAGGAAGCCGATCTCCTTCTCCCTGGCAATTTCAGGTTCCGACATTTTGGGGGGGGGGGGGGGTTTCGAAATTAGGGGTACCTTCTTGGGGCTATTTCCTTCTGTTTGGGGTCTTTTTTAGGGGCCCCCCTGTTTGCGTAAACCCAATATTTGGGGACAGTAGGGGCTTGGGAGGGCGAAGGCAGCAGGATTTTCGGGGAGGTTTGGGGAGGGCGGTGGGCAGCATAGCCACAGTGTGCTTGGTCTCTCAGAGGATGCACGTCAAAGGTCCTGTGGAGAACTGACCATATGACATCTCTTACTCGCACTGGGAGCTACAGCAGGGCCATGCCAGGCGAAGGAAACACTCGACCCAAGAAGAACCCTCCTAAACGTCAAACATGACCTCAAGCCCTGAACTTGCTGTTGCTGCAACCTACACTGCTACGGGGTGTTCCATTGTTACAGGGTTAGCATTAGGGTGTCACCCCCCCCCCCCATCACGCCCTAAACGCACAGAGCGTCAGGAGTGTGGTTCTGGGCGTGACCTCGCCCTGACCTTGAGCCCTTCAAGCACGACCCTAAACCCTAAACCCTAAACCCTAAACTCTGGATGTGTAACACCCTTGGCCATCCCCATTCCCTTGCCCGATGGTCACAAGCAAGGCCTCAGAGCTTGGTACACCTGCATCTCCTGAGCGACACTGAGAAAACTTTGCAGTAAACTTTATATGGGTTTAGGGTTTAGGGTTTCGGGTTTAGGGTTTAGGGTCTCTTTAAGTAGCGTTTCTGTTTTATGGGGGCGTATATTCGGGGTTCTTATTAGGGTATCTAGGGGCCATATTGAGGTTTAAGGGCAACAGATAAAGAGGCCACCGGCCTTTGCAAAGTAAACTCCAGCATGTTGGAACATGCTTATCCCCATACCCCAACAGGTATACTATCTGGAAACCCAGCTCGAATCCATATGGAAGCCTTGAGCAACGATGTTCCCCGAAGCCCACAAAACAGCCCTAAACTCCAATTAAGCCATAACCCTCAACCCTCGACCCTCAACCCTCAACCCTAAACCCTAAACCCTAAATTCCTGTAACTCTCATCCTCACGCGACCAAGGGGCTGATGCAGTATCCATGGAAGCCGTTGACTCATCGAGGATGGCAAAGAAGCCGTAGGTAAGGTCCCCGTGCCTTCAGGCTGCAAGGGGAGTGGGTTTTCGGGTTTTAGGTTTGGGGTTTGGGGTTTTAGGGTTTAGGGATGTTTAGGGTGAGTCTTCGGGGTTCAAGCGTTTTAGGGTGCAAGTGGTGTGGTTTTTTAAGGTTTAGGGCCAGGGTCGTGGGATATGGGTTTCATTCATCGGTCATAACATGTTACTCTGTTTTGGGGGCTACTGTTGAGGGTTCGGAGTCTAGGGTTCTACAGGGCCTTACAGGGAAGTATAACATTAGCATGCTCTGTTCTGCAGTGCCTTACAGGGAAGTACAACATTAGCATGGTCTTATAAGGTTTTGGCGGGCCTCAATAGACTCGCAAAGACCAATAGTCGGGGGCCTAACCTGTAGCTCGGTTTTCGGATGTACCATGGTGGTTTAGGGTCCAAGTGCCATCCACTAGACCAGCGCCCAAGCGCGAAACGCCTGGACATTCTGAGGGTCACGCTTGAGATGCCACTCGGCATGCCAGAACAGCCTGGCTGCGCGGAGTGCACGGCTGGGAACCCATCACGCACCTTCCTTCATGTGCGGGTGCATCCATGTCGTGTGACACGCCACGCCTTCCTACGGCCCAAACTACAAAGGATCAAGCGATTGCAGCGCCCCTAAACCCTAAACCCTAAACCCTAAACCCTAGACCCTAAACCCTAAACCCTAAACCCTAAACCCTCAAGCCCTCAGCACTCGACATCCCTAAACAAATCAGTTCCCGGTGCCTGCAGAACTGGATGCGCTGCTGCTCGCCCAAGCTTAGCACCTCATTGCCCCGTGCCACTTCAGGGTTCCGGGTTCAGCGTAAAGTGGGACCCTGGATCTGGGTCGGATGCATTCGCTACTCTCATGCATGTCGGGAGCTACAAACCCTGAACCCTAAACCCTAAACCCCTCCAAGCCTAAGCCGAGCCCACGGCGTCTGCCCAACGAATGCCCGGAGTGTCGACCTCCTTTTTGCGGGCACTCCATACCTCTCGTGGGGCTGGCGAGGGTGTAGACTTCAGGGAATTAGGTTCCGGGGCTTTCGGGGGCTGGCGGCCAAAATTTTGGGAAGGCTTGTACACTTGCAATTGCAGAGACCATTGGGAAAGCCCTGGGTTTTGCAGGGATATGGGGGTTTAGGGAGTCTATGAAGTCGTGAGCTCAAGAGACGTGAGGTCTCCCGGAGACAGGGGCCTTAAGGTTTGAAGGTTTGGGGTTTAGGGTTATGGGCGTTTAGGAATGAGTTTAGTTTTTGTTTCCTGCAAGTAGGGGTTCAGGGTTTGCGGTAGAGTTGCGCAAATTTGGGCTCCCCTGTGTAGACTCGTCAAATTGCGCAAAAATTGGGTCCCCTGTATAGATTCTCAAATACAGCAGACGATCAAAACGGTTAGGTTTCGGGCCTCAGGGTTCAGGAGCCTACATAACTAGCAACGTCATCCCCTTACAACCCCTATGTTTCTATGACTACTACAGTGTACCCCTAGAAAGCCTATCATAGTCCTTCAAACATCCCCAGAGCCCCCGAGCGCAGTTCTCTAAACTCTAAACCCTGTACCTTTGTCACAGCGGGGCAAGAATTTACATTAAGGGTACTTAAACTCAACAAGGAGCAGATTTCTTTACTACTATCCCAACCATGAACTAGTTCAGCCTATAAAAATGGCCTCGCTGAGGTTGGCTTCGGCGAAGAGGCGCTCCATGCTTTCGTCATTGAGCCTCGGGTCCGGTCTTTGAATTAAGAAAGAAGCTTCGGATTGCTTGAGGCGCACTGAGACCCCAAGAACCTGGTTTGTGTTCAGGATTTCCAGGGTTTCACGGGATGTTGAGGGCTTTAAGGTTATGACAAGGCAGTTCTTTTGGGCCCTGGGTTCCTGGCGGCTTACTTTCAGGGCTTCTGCTGGGGACTGCTGGACGAGATTGGGTCTTGTGGGTTTTGGTGCTTTACAGTCTCCAAACCCGGTGCTTAACGGTGTCTGAACGTAAGGAACGTCTTAAAAGTTTGGCTTAAACCCCAAACCCTAAACCCTAGACCCCAAACAACCCTAAACTCTAAACCCTAAACCCTAAGGGCCGCGGCTCCGTGAGCAGGGAGCTGTCCCACACCTTGGCCCAACAGCTCGGGCTTCAGATCGGCGTTTGGGTACAGGGCTCCGGGTTGCTTTAGGGAACCCTCATCCCAGGACCTCCCTGAAGGTTTGTGGTTAGGGTTTAGGGTTTAGGGTTTAGGGTTTAGGGTTTAGGGTTTAGGGTTTAGGGTTTAGGGTTTAGGGTTAGTCAGAAGCCGAGATATGGTGCCTACCCCTGAAGCTGAACCCTCAGCCTTGAGCCCCAAACCCTAAACGGACTTGCTCGTGACTGTACTCGGTTCAACGTGAGGTTCGACCTTCCGAGGAACCGCACGGCAAGTAAAGCCGCTTGAGGGTTTAGGGTTTAGGATTTGGGGTTTGGGCTTAGGGAACGTCGGCAGTTCTCAAAGTCATGGTCCCTTAAGAGTGCGTGTGCCAGGATGGGCAACTTACAAGAAACCAGGGTTCAGGTTTAGGGTTTAGGGTTTTGTGTTTAGGGTTTAGGATTCAAGGTTTAGGGTTGGAAATATGGGGCCCACCCCCCAACACCTCTCCCCAAGCAGACCCTATACGGAAACCCTAACCCCCCAAACCCAGACCCTCAACAGCAGGCCGCGACTCCAAGCAGCATTGGCCCTGCTAGGGGTTAATGTTCGGGTTTAGGGTTTAGGGTTTAGGGTTTAGGGTTTAGGGTTTAGGGTTCGGTTAGGGTTTAGGGTTTCGAGAAAATGGACCGCTGTTCCAAGGCTCCCGGCCGGATAGGCGATCTGCTCCCGCAGGGTGCCGTCAAACAAATACGGCCTCGTCAAAGGTCCAAACCCGAGTTGGGTTTAGGGTTTAGGGTTTAGGGTTTAGGGTTTAGGGTTTAGGGTTTAGGGTTTAGGGTTTAGGGTTTAAACCCTACACCCCATAAACTCCTAACAGAGCCGGCGCCTGAACACTCAGCAACCCAGATGGCCACGCTTGCACAAGTCCCAAGCTGTACACTGTACACTCTACAAGGAGGGGCCCCCCCTTACTAGACTAATTATAGTTCAGGGACCTTAGAACCTAAGATAGGATCCTTTTAACACAATGGAGGGTCTTTACAAGTCTACTTACAATTAGGGTCAGGGCCCCTTCTTGCGCTTCTGAAGTTTACGTGGTGGCCGGGGGGCAAACAAAAGAACGCATGCAGCCCAAGCGGAATGCTTGGGTTTGCTGGGACCCGACTTCGGCCCCAATGACATACTCACGCTCCCGGGCAGTCTTGGCTAGACTTTAGCCGGGTGCAGGGTTTAGGGTTTCGCGTTTACGCCCTCGCGCGAGGAAGCTGTTCGACCATGGGCCCTTTGTAAAGCAGGATCTGGGAATCCAAAACTCTCAGCCCCAAACGCCCTAAACCCTAAACCCTAAACCCTACACCCTAAACCCTAAACCCTAAACCCTACACCCTACACCCTAAACCCTAAACACCCTAAACCCTGAGCTAGGTCTGGCAGATACGTATGCTCTTGCTGACGGGATCGACCTCGGCCACAGAACCGAGTGGCAAGAAGTTCTGGGGGTCGGTGTGCCCGAAGTCCATATCGAAGACAACCTATACAACCCTAAACCCTAAACCCTAAACCCTAAACCCTAAACCCTAAACCCTAGCAAAATCATCGTTTCGGCTGTTTCTTAGGAATTTCAGTAACCTAAATTTAAACAGAAATATTCCCAAGAATCCCTAAGCAACAGGGAAAGGAAGCTCCGTCTCCGCCGACTCCTTGTCCGCGAAGTGCTCTTTCAGACCGCGCAGAACTGCGGACTTCTGGTTCTGGGCATAGGCCTCCTTCCCTCCAACGGCTTGCTGCCCAAGGCACTCTGTCTTTGGCCTTCCCACAAGCAAAGCAGCTATCCGATCAAGCAGGCCTCTCTTGCCCAGGGCCTGCACGAAACCGTAGACGAAGAAATCTGGGGGCATCACTTCAGACGTTTCGAAGAACACAACCAGCCTGCCATGCGACTCATCAGGCTCCACTAAAGTTGATCCGGCTGCGAAGAGCACTAACATGCACTCCAGACACCCGCCCCAAAGTATGCCCCGGACCGGTCGATCAAGTCTGCCCTGCCAATCCCAGAGGGGCGCGGGCAGCGAAAGCAAGGTCTTGTCGCTGTCTGCGCTCCAATTGGGGTAGTCATTGACGTAGGTTGGGGATTCAAGCAGAAGGAAGGGGTCCTTTCCCTGTGTGGCTGCCACGAAAGAGCTTTGGGTGATGGACTGCATACCACCAAGCAGCCCAAACTGGCAGAGAAGATTCCCCCCGTAGTAGGAGATGATGCCCAGGGAAAAGAGCATGAGATGCAGGTTGGTGATATCGCTGTACCCGAGAACAACCTTGGGGTTACGGCGGATGGTCTCTTTGTCCAAGAAAGGCTCCACCCGCAGCAGGTCGTCGCCGCCGATGGCGCAGATGATGCCTTCCACCTCGGGATCTGCGAAGAAGGCGTTGAGCTCCTCGGCGCGGCGGCGCGGGGGAGTCTCCACGCGGTACAGGGACTCTCCGATCACCAGCGTGAACTGGAAGTTGGTGCGCAAAACCTCGATCGCGCGATCGCGCACGTGCGGGAACACCGCGGCGGTTCCGGCAGAGGGCGCGGTGAGCGCCACCTTGGCCCCGGGGGACAGCCGGGAGGGCAGGCGCATGGCAAGCCCGTGCCGAGGCTCCATTTCCGAGGAGCCCATGACCCTCTTTCAATTTCCGGAATAGAAAATCCCCTCTAATGTTGAACACCCCCCTACCCCCTAATATTAAAACCCCCAATATGCCATAATATAACTATAATGGGGGGGTTTTAATGTTGAGGAGTAGGGGGGGGTTTAATAGTAGGGGGGAAGAGATACCTCATAGAATCGAACTCCGGAGATCTGAGAGCCAGGTAGACGATACTCCTCAACGCAGGGCTGCTGGGGCCAGGGGGGGTTGGAGTCGAAGACCTGAGGTTCATTCTCAAGCCCGGTGTAGGGTTTAGGTTTGGGTTTAGGGTTTAGGGTTTAGGGTTTAGGGTTTAGGGTTTAGGGTTTAGGGTTTAGGGTTTAGGGTTTAGGGTTTAGGGTTTAGGCTTTAGGCTTTAGGGTTTAGGGTTTAGGGTTTAGGGTTTAGGGTTTAGGGTAAACTTGTTCAGGACCCGTAGTCAATACACAAGATGACTTGCTGCATGCCCCCACGAAGGTTGCTTTGCTGAAGTTCCCTTGCAAGAGCCCAGCAAACCTTATGGCCCCTGAACCCATGTGAACCGAAAACGGATGAACCCCTGCGAATCCCTTGAGGGTTTTGGGCTTTGTGGGCTTTGGGGGGCTTCGGGCCACGGTGTAAAAGGCCCTGATTATGACAATGGCCTTAGCTTTGAAGGCTTGGGGCCGATTCCAGTAAAGGGTTTAATGCTTCTGGGCGGCTTCTGGCTTTGTGTGTCCTAAACCCCAAACCCCAAACCCTAAACCCTAAACCCTAAACCCTTAACGGGGTTCTCAAGGTCAGTGTCCTGAACCATCAACGTAACAAACAAACGAAACAAAACAGTTTGCGGTTGAGGGAGTTGCTTCAATTCTTGGAGTTGGGAGTTTATCTGACTGTGGGCCTGTTTGGTACCTTGTACTTTATAGAGCAGACTCCGCATTACACACCCCACCCCCCCCCCCCCCCCCCAAAAAAAAAAAAAGAGAGGTCCTATGATGTAGATCACCCCAGTGAATTCCAGCTGTGCATCACCCAAATGCCACCGGTCTACTCTTTGGGATCATTTGATTCTAACCAATGCCAAGCAGAAGAGAATGCTGTTCTTCCGCGCCCTCAAGACTGAATTAACTCTTGAAAGGCCACCCTAAACCCTAAACCCTAAACCCTATAAACCCTAAACCCTATAAACCCTAAACCCTTAACATGGCTTCACATTAGCTCGGTCACTTCCGGATGTGACCGTCTTTTCCGGTTTATGGGGGTTCTGTTTTACGGTTTTGGGCTTTTAGGGTTCCTAAGCCCACCCCACCTCTGTGCCAGGAAGAACAGATTTCGCGCTGGTGGCCTTCACGGGTCAGTTCTGAGTGGTTAGGGTAGCTAGGGTTCAAGGCTGAGTCCGGGACTAGGGTTTAGGGTTTAGGGTTTAGGGTTTAGGTTTTAGGAGGGTTTGGGCGGGTCAGTCCTTAGCTGCTCAGGATTTTTGTTCGGATTTCGACCATGGGCAGTTGAGGGTCAAGTTGCTCCCTGGTCAACCATACGGGGGCTGTTCGAAACTATGGGCCTTTTGGGGGTTCTGTTATCGTATCTTCCTGTATGAAATGGCCACAATGCCCATCCCCCCCCACCCCCCAAGTGTGTTGTAGGAGTGCATTGCTGAGGGGATGTTTGAAGGGGCCGCGAAGAATTCTAAACCCTCACCGCAAGGCTCCAAGGCCTCTAATTTCAAGGCTTTAGGCCCCAACACCATAATACTCAAGGGTTTTTGGGGGCTATTTTAAGCCTGAGGGTAAAAAACTGGGGTTCGGATTACGGGATTGACGGTTTTTGTCCTGACTGCCAGGCAAGGGGGCAAAACACGGATGCACCAGCAAACCTAGCAGCGAGGTCTTTCGTCAACCTAGTTCGTTTCCATACCCAGAAAACCCTTTTTCAATCCTCCTGAACCATCCACACCCAAAAACCCAAACGGCCCCCAACCCTCAACCCCCGAAACCCCCTAAACCCCCTCGACCCTGAACCCTTGTAAACCCTCTTAAATGGGAGTAGGGTGTTCATGTTTGTCAGGCATGGCAGCCCGGGCCTGCTCATCACTGCCCGTCTCGCCTGTCGCTTGGGATAAACCTACGACCCGTTTGGGGACTGCTAGGGTCTAGGGTTTAGGGTTTAGGGTTTAGGGTTTAGGGCTTGGGGTGTAGGGTTTAGGGCTTAGGGTTTGGGGTATAAGGCTTCGGGTTTAAGGTTTAGGGCTTCGGGTTAAGGGTTTAGGGCTTCGGGTCCCTAAGTCTTATAAGCCCCAAACCAAAGCTCTCGATCTACCGGGACAGGAAAAAGCAGAAGGCGTATATCGACGAACCAATGATATATGTGGGGTAGCTAAGTAATTAGAACAAATTGCCGTAATCAGCACAGAAACATGGGCAGAATAACAACAACAGTGACAGACAAGAACGGCCAGAACAGCACAAACGAAACATGCCATGTTTCATGCTGACATTTCATCCGTACACTCCGAGCTGGGTGTCGGTTTAGGGTTTAGGGTTTAGGGTTTCGTTTTTGTCCGTATTGGCCCGCGGGCTCTTCTGAGGCCGCAAAGTTTGGGCACATCTGGGATATTCTAAATGAGGACCACGAATCCCGAACATAAACCTAAGCCCCAACCGGAACCCCCGAAATCCCACCCTAAACCCTAAACCCGGGGGGAAGAGGCCTTGCCAGGAGTCTGGAAGCCTGCAGCCGGGTTGTCTTTGCGAATCTCTCGGGTTTCGGCATTCGGGCTTTAGGGAATTAGGGCTTAGGGTTTAGGGTTGGGATCAGGGTTTGGGTTTCAAGGTCCCGGGTCCATCGCCCTAAACCCTAAACCCCGAACCCTAAAACCTGAAGACATGTGCTCCCTTGTTCCAACCTGTCAGAGATGTCGCCAGGCTAGTTAAGATGCGAAGAAGCTTGACAGATGCCATGAAGCTAAAACCCTGAACAAGAAAACCCGAAACCCTCAGCCCGAATCCCGAGACGCCCCGCAAACCATGAAATCCTTTTCAGACACCCTAAACCCTAAATCCTAAACCCTGAAACCCCAAACCCCAAACCCTAAACCCTAAACCCTAAAACCCTTTTCAGGGGGGGGGGGTGAGAAGAGCAAGGGGCTAGGAGGCCCTAAGGCCTGAAACCCTTGAACCCCTAAAACCCGAAACCCTAAACTTGGGATGTTCCCCCATATGCTAGCAGGGAGTATAATGGGGGGTACTATAGGGTTTAGGGTTTAGGGTTTAGGGTATAATCCCTGTTCTCATAGGGGGAACATCTCAACACCTGAACTGCAATCGGAAGGGGGCCCACTCTCGGGATCCGTACCCCCCCCCCCCCCCCCCCCCCCCCCCCCCCCCCCCCCCCCCTCCCCCTCCCCCACCCCCACAGGTTTAGGGTTTAGGGTTTATGGGTTTAGGGTAGCAAGAAGCCACAAAGCCCGCCACCCCGGAGCCAAGGCACCTTGAATCCCCCTCATATGGCCCTTAAGGCCTTGTTGAGGGATTCTAACGGGTAACCGAAGTCCTAAATACCCAGATACCCCAATAACCCTAAACCCTAAACCCCGTAAGGAGCACTTCAGGCTCCTAAATACCGTTACACTGCGGTTTGGGCTCCGGAAGTCTCATTTAGCACGGGCGAGGGGCGCCCGCATTTTCCGAAGCCTCTCATTCAAGCAGGGGTCGATGGTTTAGGGTTTCGCCCCTTGGGGGTTTTAGGGTTTATGATATCAGCTTCAGGGTTTCGGCCTTTGCGGTTTTAGGGTCCCCTCTACACCCGAAGCCCTCGAATACTCTTGAAGATTGAACACCTGGGGGAAGTCAAAACACAATATTGAAGGATAATGAACAAAAGATGATGAGGAGATGAGCATTAGATTAAACCCTCAACCCTAAACCCTAAACCCTCAACCCTCAACCCTGAGCCCTACTAAGCCCTAAACCCTAGCCCGAAGCCCTAAACCCTAGCCCTAAACCCTAAACCCTAGCCCTAGCCCTAAACCCTAAACCCTAAACCCCAAGTGCTGCTCAAGGAGCTGGGCCAGAGCTGGCCCAAGACCCGAAGCAGGGAGCTCTTGCCGATGCCGCTGGGGCCTGGCGCGACGACCCTAAACCCTAAACCCTAAACCCTAAACCCTAAACCCTAAACCCTAAACCCTAAACCCTAAACCCTAAACTGTCTCGGGGGCGCCTCTCAAGTTCTCTTTCTAAGGCCCCAGGCCAGACCTGAGGCCCTGGACCCGAAAAAGCTCTCAACACCCGAACAACCCAACCAAACCCAAACAACCAAAACCCACCCCCCCGCCCCTCCCCTCCCCCCCCCCGCCTTTTTCCCCGAAAGAAAATAAAGAGAGAGCGAGAGAGAGATAAAGCAAAAAAACAACTCCGAACGATCAGAGCCCCAGCCCTGCCCTGGAACATGGTTTTCGAGGGCTCGAATCTCTGGGGCCTAGGGCCTAAGGGTTCCCGAAGGCCGGGTCATCATAACCCAGGGGAGTCCCCACACGCTTGAAATTCGGGCTCACAGAGGGCCGGAGCTTCACAGGGCTTAGAGAAATGAGGGTTTAGGAAAGGAATTTGCATGCTAGTACGGGTTTCAGGTGTCTTTCCTAAGTAGAAATTTGGCCATGGCCTCGCTGAGGTTACGTGCATACATTGGGGCCCAGAAGCTCTAGCGTGCGTCCGTGGCCACTGAGCCACTTCTTCGTGCAACTACTGCAGCTATACCTCCGTCTCCCACCTACTTCTATCGCTAAGAGCTAACATGGGTTTAGGGTTTAAGGATGCACGGCGAGAATGCGCGTAACGCCATGTTCAGGTCTGGGCAGCGGGCCCATGATCAAGCAGCTCTCCCCCACATTCAGCGACACGCTCACCTCGCTGCACGACACAGACAACCCAAAACCCTAACCCTAAAGCCCAAACTCACCCAGCTCAAGGTGCCCCAGCTACACCGTAAAGCCAAATTTGGGTTTAGAAAGCCC